GGCGAATGGTTATTGTTGTACCGAGCTTCTCGCGATGGTTTCAATGGTTCAGCATTTCATGAGCGATGCGACAACATAGGGCCTACAGTCACCGTTGTGAAAAGTGGTGCAAACGTTTTTGGAGGCTTCACTGAGCGGGCTTGGACAAGTAAGACTGCTAACACTGTTTTTGATTGTGTATTAACATAAATACAAAACTTATAAAATGCAAGCAATCATGCACACAAACTAGACAAAATGAGAATAGTCCATTTTAGACCATTTTATAGTTACAGGTGGAAACGAGGCTGGAGTTGACCTTGTTTTGATACAAACATCCCTTCCTGCTTCATTACGCAAATCATTTTATTCTTATGCTAACTAGCCATTTTTAGCATAAGTTCCATAAGAGAAGGAAGAAGGTTTGTATGAAAACAAGGTCAACCGCAGCCTCACTTTCACCGTCAGAGGATAGAACACAAGCCCCCAACTGTTTAATGGCCTATTAGGCCAACTAAAAAAAAAAACAACTGTTTCTCGTCCCCGCCCTCTTCATTTTTTGGGGCCGCCTCTCTTTTTTTATTATTTGTCAGTTAGTAAGGATTGCACGGACAAAAACCAACGGGCGATACTTTTACTGTATGCCACGAAAGGGGATGTAAGCCAAAGACGAATATCACGAGGAGCTTTCAGGCAAGCTAAATCATAGTCCTTTTGACGTTTTCAATGCACCCTTCCTATTGCGATATATCGTATGATGCATCACGTTGTTGTTTAAAACATGTATCAAAATAATACAAACCTGCGTTTAATCAATATCTGACGTTTCATTTTATTAATATTTCACCTCAGAACTCCAACTTATCCCTGGGGGAGGGTAATAATGTGTAAAGAAAGCATTCAATTGGAAATAATAAACAAGTCGGAAATAACAAAAAAAAAATGTGCCCGCCCGCTCTCTTTTGTATAGAAATCCGGACGAGAAACATTTGCTTTTTAACTTGGCCTTAGCCGGTAAACTTAACTTGTATGTAACTGTTTATAAGAGTTGATTTATTT